TCAGCAATTGGCAACTGGACTCTACCTGCATGCTCAGGCCCCAAACTTAAGTGTAACTCTTCTTCTCTCTAAAAATTGACATACAGCTGAAACCTGTTTGGCTCAGTGGTAGAGTGTCGGTCTGCGGACTGAAGGGTCCCGGGTTCGATTCCGGTCAAGGGCATGTGCCTTGGTTGTGGGCACATCCCCGGTGGGGGGTGTGCAGGAGGCAGCTGGTCGATGTTTCTCTCTCATTGACATTTCTAGCTCTCTATCTCTCTCCCTTCTTCTCTGTAAAAAATCAATAAAATATATTTTTTTAAAAATTGACATACAGTTGACATATTAGTTTCAGGTGCATAACATAATGATTTAATATAATGATTTGTATATATATATTGCAAAATGACCACCACAAGTCTTGTTAACACCTGTCACCATTCAGTTACAACCTTTTTGTTTTTCTTGTGATGAGAACTTTTAAGATTTTAGCAACTTCTAAATATACAATACAGTATTATTAACTATCATCACCATACTCTGCATTACCTCCCCGGGACTTATTTTATATATTTATAACTTTTTAACACCTCTTGAACAGACAAAATTTGATCTTACCATAGCTCTTACACTCTAGCTCCCTCAGCCTGGGGCATTTTCCCAAAAATCTTCAATGGGCAACTCAGTCAGCCTGTGAGCTCTCAGTGGGTAATCAAAGCATGGAAGAGAATGGCTGGGCTTGGGGTATTTTATTGTTTCACCACCAGAGAGAGTTGTCTACCAAACAGGGGTACACAACAGCAGGAGGCAGAGGATTATATGACCAGAGGTGAGAGCGAAGGAGGATGGAAGAGCTGACATTATCTGAGAAGTAGTAACCACTGAGGAATGACACGGATGTTTGCCCTTTCTTCCTCCACTCTACTCCAGCCTGCTGGAGGAGCTGGGACCCCGAAAAGAGAGGATCTTTGAATCAAAAAAGTGTTTTCTGTTTTAAAGTAACCCACCTTGAGATTTATTCCCCCCAAAGAACCAGGCAACTATGGAATCAGTCTGCCCAACTCCAAGACCACCATCTCCTCATAGCAGTCTGCTGCCCTAGCTCCCAGCCTAGTTCACTCACTTCTCTGGCTTATTTCCTTCTCTGGGAAACAGTGGACTGAAAACAGATGTGTGTTCACCTGCTAGAAAAGGTTGTGTTTACCACCTATGTATTCTAGACTTGACCCCATGAAAAGGAATTTTTAAGTTTCCTTCCCCAAAGGCCTTCAGAATGCCGATCTCGGGGGAGAAGGCAGACAGTAGGAACAATAAAAACCAGAGATGAGACACACAGTTACCTGCAGCCCTACGGTTGTTCCTGGGTTAACAAGGAGGACTGTCAACCTGCATTCCATACTGTGCTTTGAAGGGTTTACCAATTAAGGCAACCAGACATGCTGCATTTCCCAGGACATACCTGGAGCACACCTGCTGTCCTCGCCTTTTTAGGAATAGAATTCCTTTTCAGGCGGTCTCAAAGAATTCCATTCTAGATGATAAATTCAATGGCCACTCCACCAAATATCCATGGAAATCGATTAATGGAGGCAACTTCCAGGCATCTTTGAGCTGGTTCGTGGCAAGGACTAAGGAAAGGACAGACGTGAACAGTGAGACCCAGGCAAAGCATGAAGGAAAGTGCAGGAGCTGTCCACTAGGCTCTCTGGCACGGAGCTGTGACCACCCTCAGGGAGGAAGTGCTGATCTCTGCTGTCAGAACCGCTCTGGACACCCTGGTGGCTGTCATTTACATGTTAGCACCTGGCGGATAGAGCGTCATCACTCCAGTGCATGCTTGTCATCCTCAAAAGTTGAATTGAAGATTGTAGGTGTCAGAGAGAGGCCACTACCTTCAATATTGACCCAGGTGTCACTGGGGGCTTGCCATCCATGGGGCAGGTAGATGAGTCAGTTACATACAGAGAAGGGCATGATCCCGATGTCCCCACTTACTCTACAGGGTGTTTTGTGTGTGTGTGTTGTTTTTTTAAAGTAATGAAAGAATATACATATAACTCTGCCGTAGACTGGCTTATATTTCTTTACCTCTTTCGTCCTCCCCCGTCCCCAAATGTTGGGGGAAGGGACTTTATATAAAGTCCAAAATTCCAAATCAAGTCTATGAAAAAAATGTGCCCCCAATTCTGCCACGACCTTTTGATACTCAGCAACTAATAGTTTTCAAATTTCTTCTCTGCCATTTCATCTAAACATTGTCAAATCTGGACACGGGGCTCTGGTTAAACCCAAAAGGCACCGGCATCTGACGGCACTTGGAGCTCATCACTTTGTGCATCATCACCTTGACCCAGAGGCTATTACAGTAATCCCCAAAATGTATTTATTAGAACACGAAATTGCTCATAAGGAGAAAACAAGGGTGTGGTGACCAAAAGTGTTTATTGAAATTCAGACATTAAAACATTAACATGTCTCCAGTACAGGACTTCTTAGAGCTTTTAATGTGCAAACAAGCATGTGAATCCCTGATAAGGGGTGTGGGAGGGAGGGATTGAGGGTCATCTCCCTCCTCCTTGGTGATGGTGCCCTTTTTATTTTTGGTAGATAATGTGGAGGAATGAGTGTTTAAGGCACACACTTTAAGAAACATTCTATGTCTTACTGGGAATACAGCCTTGGGATGTATAATTAATACATGAATTATTTTAATAATATCATGAGTCCTTTCTTCTTTTTTTTTTTACTTCAACTTCCATGATAATTAATAAAAAGCTTCTTTCTATTACCAATGAAAAGATGGACATGTTGAATGATAGTCCTGAGGTGCGCTCCCCAGAGCACGTGGGTACAATTCCTTAGTAAAGTTACATCTACTTGAGAACTAAACGTTGATGCTGTTTTAGCTTTCTGCCATTGCCGCTCCTTGCTGAGGGAAGCTTAGCCTTTGCACAAGTTCGACATGAAGAAATCAAGGTATATTTATTTTTAAAAAATCAGTTCTGACCTAGGTGTTCAGTGAACACCTCTTTGCACGAAGCAAAAGGTAAACCAAACAACCCCCCCCAAATACCAGACATAGAGATGGAGACTTCTCTTCTTCCACAGGCTATATTCTTGCTAAGAGAGGGAAAGACAGAGAGAAATATTGATGTGAGAGAATCACATTGATTGGTTGCCTCCTATATGAGCCTTGACCAGGGCCCAGGCCAGGGAGGAGCCTGCAACCAAGGTACATGCTCTTGATTGGAGTTGAACCTGGGACCCTTTGGTCCACAAGCTGACTCTCTATCCACTAAGTCAAGCTGGCTAGAATGCTATGCATAGTATTTCTTACGTGATTTAAAGAAAGCACTATGGTTGTACATTTCTTGAGTGCCTTAGCCGGATTATCCTTCTGAAAAGCTCAAGAGACACACAAGCCAAACCACCTGGGTGAGGTTTAAGCATCAATACTGTATTTGGATGTCCTCACAGATAGTCAGAAGGCAGGCTGAAGTTACCCAAGGAGCGAGAACAGCAAACACCTGCCATGTGACCCATTTGTAATTCATTTAAAAAGAAGCATCCAGGCTGAGAGGCAAAGAATTAAGAAATAAAATGAGTCAAACTCTCTCCTTTACATTCTGTGACTTTCCAATGAATAAAAGTTCATAAAGGCACTTACTGGAGTGATGATTCTAATCTATTTTTCCTTCTCCCAATTGCAATTGTTGTTACTCTATTTGATTATATGTGCCTGCAGCTTATAGTATTCCAGTAAAACAGGCCCTTTAAAAGCTAGTGGGGGGAAAAAGAAAGTCATGTTGTTTTTTCTTATAGCACCTTCCAAATATTTTTATTATAAAGTAAGTAAAGTATAAGAGAAAAGTGTCCAAATGAGCCAAGCACGCAGCTCCCCGAAAGCACCCCAAAAAGTATGCGGAATAATTCTGATTAGACCGGGAGACTGTGCCAGACTCCAAACAAGTCCTCATTCTGCCGTGACATCTGCTGAGCAATGCACCCATTGTTCTCTGGAATTTAATTCATTTTCAATTACTCCATCCAAATGATAAAACATGAGATGTGCTACACTCCGGGGGGGTGGGGGAAATGCAATGATTGTAGTGTGATCACAACTGTGTGCTGGGAAGCAACACAGCCTGCTCCAATGAGGCCCTGATTCTTGTCTTCCGAAAAACAGTTAGTTCGAAAAATGTGAGGGAAATCCTGTTAAGTCCTGGAAGTGTTGGCATAAACCATCTAGCCTACTCTGGGGAGAGCTATATGCAAAGTCTTCCTCAAACATAGAGCAACAATCTTCGGAAGAGAAACTATCTCAAAACTAAAAAACATCTTGGGGACTGACTGACTGTAAGATATAATATAATCTGTACTAACATGGTCAACAAATTATTTTACTGATCAAGGACTACCGTGCAGATGCTCCAAATCCAAACTATGGTAACTGCCTGTCGCAGAGGTGCTTTGAAAGGTACCATGCGTTGTATGCCACGGGGAACACTGCCATCTGGACACATTAGTGATTAGGAGTTTAAAAAAGCCCAAAACAAAAAATAAGATGACTCTCAGGAGAAAATACACACTATACACACATTAGAATTTATATCTCCTGTATGCCACATATTTAATATAAACCTTTGCAACAAGTTCAGATGAAATGAAAATCAAAGTTCTCAAAAAGTGAAAGATTAACTTAGTCGCTAAAGAGTCCCCATTGCCCCAAACATCAGTATGCTTTTTATTTCTATGCAAAAGTAGGCTTTCCAACTGCTCAAAGGATATGACGTGATACACAAACCAATTTTCAAATCATGATGCCAGTCATCTTGCAATTTAAAGAAAAATGATGTAAAAGATATTATGACACACTGCACGCACACACACTCACACACATGCACACACACTCACACACACACAACACACACACACTCGAACACACATACCAATGACCTCGTGTGGCCTCTCCTAAAATAAGGACATGAAGACCTATAAGTGCTGCAGGGAAGATTCCTGTGTCACCCCTCCCTGCAATCCAGGTAGTTTCCTTTAATCCAATAGCAAATCTGGGCATACTTGAGAGGCGTGATCCTCACAGCCACGTTGAAATCCTGTGGAGAACCATTCATGTCTACCCACTGGTGCCCTGAAAAGATGCCAATGATTTTCCGCTCCCACTTCTGCTGCTGTTTCTTCCACATCCTCACGTAGACCCCTGACCCGCTGGCTCCGGGCTGGGCGTCGCACTGCTGGTAGAGCAGGTCATAGGTCTCATCCTTGACGTCGCAGAAGCGGTACACCAGGTTGCCCAGCCGGTCGTTGTCATAACCAGAGAAGTGGATCCTGCCCCCCGGCAGCTGCTTGGCGGGAGGGCTCACTCCGATCTTCATGAACTTTCTCTTATGGAGTTTTTTAAGTTCCAGGAGAGCGTAGTCGTAATCCATGCCAATGTCGTTGGCATTGCCCTTGATCCAGCCTTTGGGCACGTGGGTGCGTTTCACTCGGATCCATTGAAATTTCATCTTCTCGGGCCCGGCTGCGCTGGAGCTGTTGGCCCCGCGGCCCTCTTTGACCTTGGGCTTCAGGAAGCCCACACGGAGTTTCTGGGTTCCTTTCACGTAGGTTTTGCCGTCGTGGATGCAGTGGGCAGCCGTGAGGACATGCTTCTCCGACACCAGGGTGCCCGTGCAGCCTGTGGACAGCTTCACCGATGTGGAGAAGGGGTAGTTGAGCAGGAAGTCCTTCCCAAAAATGCTGAACCTGCTGTCGTAGCCGTAAATCTGCCGCTTCCTCCGGGACTTGCCCGAGGACTCGCTGCCACCACTGCCGAGGACGTAAATGCCTACCTGGGTCTCAGTGCGGCTGCCGTTGGCGTAGAGCGTTTCATAAGACAGGTACTGCTTGACCTCTTCGTAAGTGGGCAGTGGGGTTCCCTTATGACACTGGGGTCCACATGAGGAGGACACTTCCAATTTGGCTTCGGCCCCGAAGTCTGGCTTGGCTAAGTGGAGCGTGGACTGGGGCAGGATGACGGGGAGGCAGTAAGCAGGCCAGGTGGGCTTCCAGTGGGTGCCGGAGGGACTCACCTGCCCCACAGCGCAGAGGAGGAGAAGGAGCATGAGGAGGAGGAGGAGGAGGAGCCCTGGAATCCCCGCCATGCTGAGCACCACTCTCTGTGGGAACAAAGACAAGCGGGTCAGGAGGGCAAGGGGCCCAGTGCTGGTTTACTGCAGACGCAGTCAACGGCATACCTGTCATTGTTTCATTCATATATATATATATATATATATATATATATATATATATATATATTGATTTCAGAGAGGAAGGGAGAGGGAGAGACAGAGAGAGAATCATTGCTTAGCTTCCTCCTGCACACTGCCCCACTGGGGATCGAGCCCACACCCGGGCCATGGGCCCTAACTGGGAATCAAACTGAGATCTCCTGGTTCATAGGTCGACATTCAACCACTGAGCAATGCCAGCGGGGCTGTCGCTGTTTCTAAGTCTGCAAACCCTCCTCAGGAATCAGGGTGTGGAGAAGAATCCCTAGTTGATGGTTTCATTACCATGCAAGGGCTTGGCCTTGGAACACTCCCATGGCCTGGTGTCCAAAACGAAGTCGGGTGCTCATTCCCTTCTAAGTTGAAGAAGCCCCTAACAACGACCCATTGCAGGACAGTGTGTGTAGGGTCATTGATCCCCAGATGAACTGATGGACCAGCCTCAATTTCCAGGTAATTTTGAGCCTTCTTTGTGCTTCAGACTAAACCTTTGTCTTTTCCTACCTCCTTCGTCCCCCTGCCTTTCTTTCCTCTCATTCTCATTAAAGCATGAAGTTGGAGCATCTACAGAGCAACTTGCTCATGCAAAGGGTAAATTTAAATCACTCAGCTTGCTGAGTGACACGGTGTACGGAGAGATAGCTCCACTGTGTCCCTCCCATTACCTCTAAATACTGGGTGCATTTCAAAGGATATAAGGCTTTTGAGTTGTTTTTTCTGTGTGTGTGTGTATTGTTGTTGTTTGTTTTTTGCTTTGAATTTAGAACAACCTTACCTATTAAAATTTAGTGCCAGAGCAGTCAGACCTCTAACATACAAAATATTTCTTCTTCCTATAGCATTTGTCTTATATCAGCAGGACCTTTGTCAAAGGTAGATCGCATCATGACTGTCATTGTTGGTTACTTTTTCAGACCTTTTTCTTCATGGTCCCAGCTAGTGTAAATACCTTGAATTTGGGCCTATGCTAACACTCAGCACCGATTTATTTATTTATTGTATGCATGAAAGATGAGTGAATGATTGGTGTAGCTAAAAAAAAAATCCTTTTTTGAATGATGCATGCTGAGTGCTGATGACAGAGATGTAGGAGGGTGATGTGGTAGCTCAGAGAAAGGGCATGAAGTCAGCTATGGGAGTAAGAAGAACAGGGGAGGGGTTCCAGAGGATGTGAGGCTGGAGATGGGAGTTGAAGCCAAACAGAAGTTAGATCATAGAAGACAGAGTGAAGGGGCCTCTTAGATGAAACAACAGTCTGTAAGGACAAGGAGCCTGGCAACAGGGCACACACATCATTTCAGGAATCATGCTCAGCTCCACAAAGAGGCAACAGGCAAGAGCTGGATTGTGAGGGGCCGAGTATAGGAGATGAAGGAGTTTGGATTTCATCCTGAAAGGTATGTTTAAAGCCTGAGATCAATCACCCCCACAAGAAAAACAACAACAAAAAGAAGACAGGAAGTAGAACTTTCCCAGATGTCGAAGCATCAGTCAGTTTTGAATGGCTCTGAACCTTCTATTCAAGGGAAGCTGACTAACAGGTGAGGTAATTCATTCATGCTCAGACATCCCAAAACTAGGACAAGGAGGGGCTAGGTCTCAAGAGGCTAGTGGAATGTAGCAGGAGTCAGAAGGAAACTGTTCCATTATCCTCACCTTCTCCCTCGTTGGAAGTAAAGACCCATTTGCACTTTTGGGGTGCCCCTGAGCTAGCTGATCTAGTCCAGCTGAGCATGCCAGTCCATATCCCTATTATCCACTGTATTTCTAAAAATGTGGGTGCCCCACCCACCTCTGGGATCCTTGTGCTTGTCTCTTTCTCTCATCTGCTACACTTAGATGGTTGGGCATCATCCAGTGTGCCAGAAGGTTGCCAGTTTGGTTCCTGGGCAGGGCATGTGCCCTGGGTTGTGAGCTCCATCCCTGATGGGGGTATGCTCGTCTGATTCTACTTCCGTCAGGGAGAACAGGGATGGGAAAGGAAGGCAGGAGGTCCTAGAAAGCCAATTCCTTGGGACTTCCTGATTCCTTGAAACTGCTTCTCTCCATTTTTCCAAATAGGAAGGATCCATGGGCCCTTTCGTGGGAAAGAATTACATCTAATTATTTCTCTAAATCCTTTAAATCATGGGGTGCAAGTGCACAAATAACTGAAAGTCCTTTAACCAAAGAACAACATGCATATATGCATAGCCCATGGACACAGACAGTAGTGAGGTCAAGGCCTGGGGTGGGGTGGGGGTTGGGCAGAGCGGCGAGTAGGGAGGAAATGGGGGACATCTGTACTGCTGACAATAAAAAATAAACTAAAAATAAAATAAAAATGAAAGCTCCAAGTAGACAAAAGAGGGGATGCTAAGGCTAGTAGGTGAGGATGTCCGTGTAGAAGACTTCGGAGAATGGCTCTGCAACTGATTATTCCCATCTCCTGGGCGAGGACCCAGCTCTTGGGCATATCTAGGGCGTGGACAGCCTTTTCTCTATGTAAGTTGCTGCCTAGGTGACCAATCACCCCCACACTAGAATCCCTGCCAAGTGTGATATGTACTAGGAGGAATCATGTACCTCCCACGAGGCTGTATCTTGGGCCCAGAGACACCACCCCCTCCTTTCTTCAACTAACGTGGAGAACATTAATGCCTGCTAACACTGAGCAGCAGATGTGGTAGGCCAAGTGTTACTTCAGCTTGTCTTAAGAAAGAAAACACAGACTCCAGACAGAGGTTCAAGCTGCCAAGTATCCCTGTATTCAAAATATAATTTTTAAGGGAGAGAGAGAGAGGAGAAGATGAGATCTTACTATACCATGTATTATCATAAGTTGTTAATAATATTTTCAATGTGCATGATGACCGTAACAGTTAAAATATGCTCATATTATTATCTAGATCATGAATCTTCAAACACCAAACCTGAAATTTGCATGTTAACTTGATGCTGGGAATAGAGAGTATGAATTATCTACTGTAGTAGAATCACTCCAGTGGTGTCTGTCTTTAGCTTCATCCATTTGTCCAAACACTGAAATAGTCCTTTGGCAAGGGTATCAGAAAAGAGAATAGTAAGGAACTAGGATCCATCTAGAAGCCTTTCATTAATAAATTAACCCCCTCTCAGGCAAAATTAACTCTAATTTCATTTTCCCAAGTGCTTTGCCTATAGTAAACCCCTGCTTAAGAAATACTTTTGCCCTGGCTGGTGTGGCTCAGTTGGTTGGGCATCATCCAGTTGCACCAGAAGGTTGTTGCTTTGATTCCTGGTCAGGGTACATGACCCAGGGTTATGAGCCCCATTATCAGGCCAGGTGTGTGCAGGAGGCAGCCTATCAATTTATTGCTCTCACATCAATGTTTCTCTCTCTCTCTCTCTCTCTCTCCCCCTCTCCCTTCTACTCTCTCTAAAAACCAATACAAAATTTATAAGGAAAATTTTTCAAAGGCCTTGAAGCACGACCATTCCTCTCTTGGTTGTTGATTTTTCAAAGTCTGTCTTTCAAAAACAATGTTTTTGCAAGTCAGTTCATGAGAGGTAGTGGGTATGGAGAAATTGGAACAAGTCTTTTCCTGAGTGTGACTGCTGTGCAGTTAGCTAGGCCCTCTCACTAGCCACAGCTTCACTCCAGTCTCTTGACATAGGATCAAATTTATTCTTCAGCTAAATGATGGATGACTAAGCCAAGAACCTCTAGGATAACTTACAAATCACACAGTGCTGCTAGAGAAGGCTAAAGAGTCTACCACAGAAAATTACTCTTCAAGATAAGAGTATTATCTAATAAGTAGTAGATAATATTACCAATTCAGAGTCCTTACAAGTTAAATTCTGGGCATTCAGCCAGTTAAGGAGTCTGCTATCTATAAGAACTGCTAAACCACAAGGCAAGGTGAAGTTCTAATCCCTTAGAAATAAGCTTGTCAAATACCTCAAAAACTAGGGATCCTATTAGTTTGAAACATTGTTTACAAGTTCCCTATAGTATTACTTAAATCTATTGGTTAACTTGTGGGGTACAACCTTGTTCTGACATTTTCTACCTTTAAATATATATATATATATATATATATATATATATATATATATATATATATATGAGAAGGAGAGATAGAAACATCAATGATGAGAGCGAATCATTGTCTCCTGCAGGCCCCACACTGGGGATCGAGCCTACAACCCAGGCCTGTGCTCTGACCGGGAATCCAACCAGCAACCTCTGTGCACGGGATGACACCCAGCCACACTGGCCAGGGCTCCAGGTGATCTCTTTGGTCTTCTCAGCTCTGGTCTTTTCAGGTCTAGGGGTCTCTAAATTTATAATTTTCTAGGGTCACAAACATCCAGGGTGGGCACTATGTTGTTCACAGATAGCATCTGTGCAGCCAGTCACAAGTCACAGCTCAGTCAGGGGCTTTCCTTTAGAAAGCTCTGGAGGGTGGGGGCATTGGGGAAAAGAAAAAGGAAATTTTGCCATGTTAATCCCTTGCTTATCTGGGTGACAAGATTTCCCTGACCGGTCATCAAAGAAAGCAAAGGCCTCCAGCAGAGGGCAGCTTTCAAGAACAGAAGGAAGAACAGCCTGGTGTGAATGCTCTCAGGAGTGGGAACTGACCTGCTGCTTGCTCCCTGAGGCACTCACACCTTCCCTGGCCCCTTCCCCATTCATCACACACCATGGAGAACAGGGATGCTTTCAAATCAGGTAGGTGGCTTTGCATTAATTCCTCAACTCACCTGATTATAGAATAATTCCCCAGGAGACAAATAATCATTGTTTCCATTTTTATCAGCTCTAGCTAAGCCTGTGCCATGCCCAGTTATTTAAATAGAAACACTCTAAAATGTAAACAGATGCAATAAAAACATTCATAAGCGCACAG